GCATTATCAACGTCAACCAAAAACAACCATAAGACAGAAAAAAAGTCAGTTGCACATTTGCTGTAAAGGTGTATGTGAATTTGCCCCCTTAAATAGCTTTTGCTGTTTTGCAGTGTGCAACAGGTTAAACTCTTATTAGAAAAGAAATGTTGGCACTGAAGAAATAGGCCCATGGCCTGTTGCTGATTCTTGTACTTTGCCTGACTTGATTCACAAGGACAAAGGATCTCTGGATCTGGCCTTTGGGACCCATCTTTCCATAACTGACAATTGATTGTGAATTTGTGATAGCTGCTGGACTGATTGCATGGTCTGTAAGGTGCTAGGCATTTCAAGACTGAACATAGGCTATGCTCCTGCATAGCTTTCTCTAGTCTGTTGTTCTTATTGGTGGGTGGTGTGATTTGTTATTAATTCATAAATGTTAATTTCTTGTGTTTGATTTTGAGATGAATGGTTAACGAATTAATACTTAGTCATTCTCATAAGTGGCAATGGCAAACTGGCAAACCAGAGATTTTTATGGAATCAGTTCATTTTTAATTCCTCATTTAGGCTCCTCAATATTTAAACCAATTTTTTATGTATGATAAATTGATAATGCTGGTATCCATGATACTTTACTGGTCTACTTATACTTATAGTCCTACTCAAAATTGAACTTGAGGGAGAGTCTAAACAGCTCTCTGCTTTGCCTGGTCTTGCCACTATGCCAGATCTCTCTTTAAAGCTGATCTCGCACAAAAGCTTTAAACCCATTTCTTGACTATTAAGTATGATAATGCTGGTATCCATGATACTTTACTTTACTGGTCTACTTATAGGACTAAAAAATGAACTTGAGGGAAAGTCTAAAAAACTTTCTTCTTTGTCACTAGGTGTGACCTGAAGTGTTGCAAGTTGCAAGTTTGCAACCTTCATTCTTGATTCTTTCAAAATTCAAATTTCAAGTGCAACTTTAATCCCTCGCCTCAATTCCCTGATTTCCCTCCTATTTTTATCCTTTCTATCTTGACTAAAATTTTTGGATCAAAAAAGCAACGGAGTTTGGAGGTGGATTGAAGATAGGCTAAATGGCTAATAGGTATAGCTAGGCATAGTGGCAAAGCAGAGAGTTTTTTAGACTCTCCCTCAAGTTCATTTTTGAGTCCTATAAGTAGACCAGTAAAGTATCCTGGATACTAGCATCATCATACTTAAGAAATTGGTTTAAATCTTGGGTAAATGAGGAAATTGAAAATGAACTGATTCTAAAAAAGCTGTGGTTTGCCACTATGTAGCTAGGTATGAACATACTGATTATTTAGTGACAAACCAGAGATTTTTTAGAATCAGTTCATTTTTAATTTTCTCATTTACTCAAAATTTAAACCAATTTCTCAAGTATGATAATGCTGGTATGGTATCTATGATACTTTACTAGTCTACTTACAGGACTCAAAATGAACTTGAGGCACAGGCAGTGAGTAAAAAACTCTCTGCTTTGCCACTATGTTAAAATTTAGAAAAAACATGATTTTTGTTGTAACTGTTACATCGCGGATGCACATAGGACCTAATAATAGGCTAATATAATACCTAATAATAATGAATGAACCATGATTTTTAGAATTTCATCCTGTCAGGAGGACTGAGTATGACTATGAGTCTATGAGTACTAATTATCTGTTATTATCAATCATAATGAATGTAATGTCTGGACTAAGTGAGTACTGATAACCTGACATGAGGACAGAATCAAAGCTCAACCGACATCATAGCATGGCCATGCCCACGGCAAGAGTGATTGACCATACGTCCATACCTACCTAGCCTAAGTGAAATTTGAATCAGACGAGTTACTGTGATCGCAACTAATCACACGAACTGACGAAGTATTGTTGAGGTTAGCAGGGGCCAGGGAATAGGGTGCAAACTGCTTGTCAAAGAAGAAAAAGTAACAGCTTTTTACTAACTAATTATTAACGTCCACCTCACGGCATATTTTTCACTCCACCATTCACGAAGTCTGACTGGCGAATGAAAATTTACTGCATGCCGGTGCGGATTGCGGATACTTCTATTTTTTTTTTAATTTGATTTGAAGGCTTCGGGTATGCTGGTAGCACACCTCCCAGCCTGAGCACAACTGGGATTTTGGTCACTTCACTTCACTTGTTGGTTCTACTTTAGTTTTTATTTAATTTTAGCACTTCCACCAGCCAGTGTGGCAGTAAATTGTAAAGAGAGAAAGAGATGGATTAATTAGGCTTTGAAAAACTTTATAGCCTGGTCACCATATTGCAGCTTAGCAAATATTGACCCAGATGACGAATGGCAGCAGTGCGTCTCCTTGTTGGGGCGTCCCCACCGCCGAGAGCTGAGATAAGATCCCATTGTAGTGAGAGGCCTTCCAGTCTTGAGCGGAATTCCCTTCGTTGGTTGGAAAATTGTGTGCAGTGCAGAATGAAATGCTCAATTGTGTCCTCCACATTACATACTGAATAGTTACTTGAATTGGCCAAGTTGAATCTTGCCAAATGAGCGTAGACACCAGCATGTCCCAGGCGCAGGCGTGACACAGCACACTCAACTGAGCGTGGCAGCACTCCGTAATCAACAAAGGCTATTTCAGGTCCCAAACTTCTTCGAAAGGTCCCCTTGCCTGTTTCTAGCACGTCAGCTGCCCATTGGCACGTCCATTCTTGTACCGTGAGAGACTTCATGGAACAGATCCACTCCTCAAAACACAGCTGAGATCTTGCTGAACGGTTGTTAGAATGTGCCAAATTTGCTACTCTGTCTGCAACCTCGTTTCCATGAGCACCACTGTGGCCTCTGACCCAGCAAAGCACCACCCTGTTGACAAGTTCCTTCACCAGCATCAGCTTCTGTATCTCAAAGATAATTGTGCGGTATGAATGTCCAGATGAGTTGGATAAAAGCTGCAGAGCACACCTTGAATCTGTCAGAATTAGGATTGACTCCTCCTTCAGAGACCCATCTACGGTGGCAAGTTGCAAGGCCTTGTGTAAAGCAAACAGCTCCGCACCAAGAACCGTGTGCTCCTGCCGGAGCAACCAACCAGTTGCCAACTTGGTTGAAGGAACAAAAAGTCCAGCTGAAACAGACCCATCTTGAGACTTTGAGCCATCAGTATAAATTTGGATATGTCTTGGATCTGTCTCTTATACACATCTAGATGTGTATAAGAGACAGCATTAGATCTGCCCCTGGCATCCCACAGAGGAGAATGGGCATTGAAGTCTCCAACAGCCACAAAGCTGTCACCAAGTTGAGATAGATAAAAATTAATTTCATCATGGGCTACATTATTACCTGGATTATAGAAATTACCAATAGCAATCCATCCTAGTGCTGTGTTGATCTTTAAAGACTGAAATTCAAGATTGGAACCTCCTGGAAATACCGGAATATCAAACTGTTGCTGTTGAAGATCTCTCCGAACTAAAATTGCCATGCCACCCCTAAATGCATTTTCCCGATGTGACCACATTCCAGAATAACCAACGAAAGAAGGCTCGTGGACTCCCAACCAAGTCTCACAAAGGCATACAACATCTGGCTTTTCTCTATATAGATAAAGCTTTATTTCCGTTAGTTTCCCACGCAGGCCGTGACAGTTTAGTTGCACAATCTCCAAGCCCAGCTCCCTTCTAGGAGGACGGGTCAAAAGCTGAGTCTTCAGTCTATAACTCATTGAGATAGTTCTCTACCACTTGCAGACTTGCCCTTGCCTCGCCCCCTAGAGCGTCCACCTTGTTTACGACATCACTATGTTATGTTATGTTATGTTAAGTTGACTCCCTCGAGAGCTGCTAAAGACGCTGAAGTGGCGAATGAATGATCCATAGAATGCCGCGGAAGACGGCTTCCGCAAATTCAACGAGTATTAACGTTGCGTTTTGGACAATCATTTGCATGCTTGGTGTTGTTGTTGTTGTGGTTCCCAGGTCTCATTTTTATAAGAAAACCCCCTCGCGCAAGTACGACACCACCGACAGGGGGTAGCTCCAGAGCTGTAGAGTCGAGGTTATGTAGTGGTGTTGTCTGAGATCCTGCCAGAGCGGACATTCCAGGAGAATGTGAGTGATTGTGTGGAGAGCTCTCTGGCAGGATGGGCAGGTGTCTGTATCTGATTGGCCGATTCTGTTTGCGTATGTTTGTAGTGAAGAGTGGTGGCCGCAGCGCAGCCTGGCTGGGTGTACTCTCTCCAGTCTAGAGAGCTGGGTTTCTGTGCTGCTTATGTCAGGTGGTGGGTGTCCAAGGAATTTGTTGTTGCCGGCCAGCTCCAGCGTTCTAAGTGTCATAATTGTGTGTGTTTTTTTTGTGCTGGTGTTGCCTTGGGGTTGGGATACTGTGTTTAGTATGTTGGTATAGTATCTGTGTGGGGTTTGCTCTATTTGTCTGTGTGTAGGTGGGTGGTCGCGTAACTGTGTTCCTCACATGTCGAGGTGTGCTTTTATGGGAAGTATTTTTGTTTCTGCATGAAGGTGTTCAATGGGGGTGCTTTGTGTGCAGCCTGTGACTATCTGTTTGGTGTTGTTGATGATGGTGTGACATGCATGAACCATGTTGATCCTTATGTGAGTGATCATGTATGCAAATAATCGTGTGAGATTTTGGAGGTCCAACTCGTGTATCTACAGGCATCTGTCTCAGAGAATGCGACGTGATGAAATAGGTCAATCAATCACTTATTCAATGTAGTAAGCACTTTCCACTCGACGTCATGAAAACAATAGCTTAACGCATATCAGAAATATTGCCATATTCTGTCTAATCAAAGTAGTTATTTCAGTGTTAATACGCTTTTGGTAAAGACAGCATTGTAAAATTGTTACGTAGAATGGCTGAATTCAGAAACGCGTTAAAGTGATCAATCGCTGCTTCCTTTTCCAGGTATTCTAACATGATCGGAAGAACTCGTGACGTTACATCACATTTATTCTTTCGTAAAAAAAAAACAAAGACATACAAGGTTAAAATCAAACAAAACAATGAAAACTAAATTTACCAACAACTTTCAATGCTCAAGAAATTGTACATCTGACATTTGAGAAGACGCTATTTACAGCAAAAGTAGAAAAAATAATTGCCATTCATTTGACTTTTTTTTACAACTGAATATCCTTGGTTTGCCTCCGAAATACATTTAGAAAAGCTGAACTATGTACAAGTTCATAAGAAACGTGCTTAGAGTTTATTGGACGGCACGATTTCTACACTCAGAGAAAAGAGACTTTGTCTAAACAGCGACGCACTTTTTGCCCAAGTGTTGGTCATGCTGACCAAATTTGGCACAGCAGATATCAGTGCTATGTGCAGATTGTGTTCGTAAAACATGATCCATTAATTTATCCAAGTAATATCAGTCTATCATTTTGTAATCACATTTCTAAAGCCTTTTAACAAGGCTACATTTTACGTAGGAAGCAACTCAAATCAATATTACAGATTGTCTTCGGTCTCAGAAGCCTCCAGTTCCAATGTAAACAATAAAAATTCTAAACAATCACCCTTAAATCTTCGATCTATTGAAAAAGTGGAGGTTAACCATAACCTCGGTTAACCCTTGTAGAACGACGGCAGGTTACCAGGCCTGTTTAACCTTCGCATTGAGTTAACGAATATCATTGTTCCAGCGAATATCTCTCGCTAACCCTTGCCAGGAATGAATATCATTAACATTTTATTATTCATAAGTAGAGTAAGGATTCACTCACCGCCTACCGAGAGTAAATTATAGTAATCTATTTTTGTTAGCAAGTGTCAAACCATCAAAAAAGTAACTTCAAACCATAAAAATTAGTAACTCTGTCAGCCAATCACTGACGGCTTTTCAAGCAAAAACCATCAATCACAGACAAGAAATCAGGCGCTACGTGTACTTAGAGCACTACGTGTACATCAGGGAGTTATGATAGTACGGGACAGAAAACATAACCTGCCCAGAAACTATAAGCTATCCTAAAACAGAAACTTCTGGAATTAGAATTAAACTACAGCTGTAAGACATCTCAGTTTGTCTAGGTAAAGATATTTCTTCATTGAAATGTCATAAGTATTTTATGCCCAAGAAACTAAGAGTAGCTTAGAACTTTCATAATATCACATAGTACAGTCAGGACATAATGAGTTATTGCTCATACCATAGAATATACAGAATAGAACAGGCAGGCAGCCACTGGTGTCAAATAATTGAGCTAATCAACATAGAAGCCAGTGCAGCCGATTTCAGGCTGATTTGTACGCAGTAATTAGAATAACCTACTTAAATCGACAATTATATCGATAGTTAGAAAGCTTCCTTAAGTTTATGCCTACAATTAATATGTCTCATTATTTTAGCCTCGAGAAGGCACATCCTTTTTCACCTTTACACTATAAAACATAATTACAACATTAATGACGAAGTACCTTATCATGCTAATAACAACAGAACTGCATTCAAATTAAAAAAAATTACGAATATAACAACTCTTTTGTCACACAAATTGCAGCAAAATTCACAGGCGAACTCTCGTGTTCATTACTAATCATGATATCACGATGAAGGTTTGATATTACCTTAATGATTTGGTCTGGTTATTAGTCAATACGGAAAAGTTCTGCCACGCACGAATTCTGTGCTAATTATTTCTTTTGACACCCAATACGTTTAAAAAGTTATTAGAATAAGTAACTAGGAAGATTTTATTAGACAAATCGCCTAAAACAGGCATTAAAACCCACGTAACCAAGAAATAATAAAAACAGTTTTCGGAGAAATTGGAGCCCGATCTACATCCTGACATGATGATAAAAATGTATGAAAATATAATAATGATAAACATCAAAGAACTATTAAAGTCTAATCCTTTGTGTTATTCTCCTTAATGAATATAATGAACAAAAATCATCTTACAATGCAAAAAAAGAGAAGCTGAAGTTAATATTGAGAATCCTCAACCTAGCGCATTCCTGGCGCTGTGTCTATAAGGATATAAGATAATTTCATTGAAAATAATTTTTAAACACACAATAAACATGTCACAACCACATTGCCGTTTCCTTTCATTGTGTCGATTATGATTTCCGAGTGTTTCGTTGAAAAAAATGAAAACACAATATATACCTGTGAGAATAATGATCCAAACGATGCATTATTCAACACAGCGATCACGGTAGGCCCGAGTTGAATGAATGACGTTTCAACTAAATCGACTCTTCAATTCACGTTGTTCCAACTTCATTCTCCTCGAGGGAAATTTCCAAAAAATAAACAGTTCGCTCAAAATAATATATAAGTAATAAAGATCAGCTAGCGAGAATTGAGTTGCGGAACGTAAAATGGTAGATGCAAGTTTATTACTTGTCTCGAAGAGGACAGCATTAAAGCCAAGTAGAAGATCGTTATGAAATTACTTTGATATTCTTAGCTATATTATGGGTAAAAGCGAAGTCGGCATAAAATATGTGTCAGAGACCGACTGTGAAAAGTTGCACTATGAGGCGTGTCTCACAAATGAAAAAGATTAGATTGTTACGGATCTACTGTGTTAGAAATTGTTAGCTACTATTGTACAAATTATGTGTCAAACCAGCACAAAAGATGTGTCGTAGTCTGAGAGAGGCAACCAGCACCATAAAGGGTTTCTCTACAAATGATAAGGAGATTAATGTGACTTTAGGAGAATAAAATTAAATGATCTGAGAATCAGAAATAGGTGAGACGTTGATCAAATAGCTATGAACCTTTCAACCCTTGTGTGGGTCATTTTTACCCTTTACCCAGCCTCATCAGCCCATTATCCGGCCTCCTCAGTCCATTATCAAGCGTCTTAAGTCCATTTTCCAGGCTTCTAAGACCATTATCCAGCGTCCTAAGTCCATTTTCCAGCCTCTTAAGTCCCTTTTCCATCTGCCTCAATCCATTTTCTCAGCCACGGGCATCCTGACAGCCCTTAAGGAGGAGCCGTAATCGAAGATGACGGAGGCACCGACAGCGATGAGGTGTCGGGGACAGACGGAGTGTCCTGCGTCCCCCAGGGACACTTCCAGCACCTCGGTCCCCTGACTCACGTCCCACACACACAGGCGGTCCTGTGGCATAAGGGACACCAACATTAAATTGGAATTGTGACATTAATAAATATAATAAAGAGAAATGTTTGCGAGACCGTAGAGAATGTCATCAAATTGGTGTAGAATTAACAAATAAAAATAATGTAGAGAAGAAAGTGTGTCAGCCGCATAATGTAGAGAACAGGGTTCGTACCGGTATTAAGAAAAAAATTTCATGACTTTTCCAAGACTCTCCATGACCATCAATATAATTTTCCAAGACTCGTATACGACAGGATTAGCATCACTGAAAAACTAACCGTGCATATTCTATCATCTCCTGCAGTTGATAAATAGCAAACGTGTAAATGCATAGCTCTTCATTATATTCAAAGGTGACATGGCACTTCAAAGCTGCTTCCCCCATATTTGACACACCGAAATCTTTCGAGCACAATGTACATATCGCCACACCTTCATGCTTTAGATGGCGAGCAAGCCAGTCACGATAAGGTTCTATTCTCAACCACAAGTCATGAAATTCACACTTTCCAATCATGGTGATGTAGAAAATAGAAATTGAACGCTGGAGGTGGAACGCTGCCACAGCAGATCAAAAAGCTGTCGAATGCAACTGAGCTCGGTGGCCGAGCTCACGTGATTGGTTCTCCAATCAAAACGCAGGAAACAAGAGACTGCACAAACAGTAAACGCACGCAACACAGAAAAACACTTCATTTTTTCTTCTTCCATTTGTAAATTCCATGACTTTCCATGACCTGGAATGAAATCCCATTACTTCCCAGCCCTGGAAAATAAAAAATCAAATTTCACGACTTTCCAGGTTTTCCACGACCGGTACAAACCCTCAGAGAAGATTGCCAGCAGTGCGATATTATCAGCAACTTAATAAAGAATTTACAAATTATCACCAGGAAAAATTACATCAAATTAATGCAGTCCTTATAACATCATTAAATTAACAGAAGAACATCATCAGTAGAGTGGGATCACCTGTTTGGTAGTCAGCACGACCACAATCACCCGTTTGGCGGTCAGCACAACCACCAACACCCGTTTAGTGGTCAGCATGACCATCATCACATGTTTGGTACCGTAGTCAGCATGACCATCATCACCTGTTTGGTGGTCAGCATGACCATCATCACCTGTTTGGTGGTCAGCATGACCATCATCACCCGTCTGCCAGTCAGCATGACCATCATCACCTGTTTGGTGGTCAGCATGACCATCATCACTCGTCTGGCAGTCAACATGACCATCATCACCTGTTTAGCGGTCAGCATGACCACCATCACCTGTTTAGCAGTAAGCAGCAGTTTGGAGGTCAGCATGATCATGCTGCCGAAGAAAGTATCCGTGAGGTGGACCGTGGTCAGGAGATGGCCCTGGAAGCGCTCCCAGACAGCCAGGCGGTCGTCGGCGGCCATGCTGATCAGGTACGACGATGACGTCACGATGGACAGCACGGCACCCGAATGGCCACACACGCTGCAAAAAAATAATAATTCATACATATCTGTTCAATTCATAATTAATACATAACTGTTCAATTCATACATATCCGCTTCATTCATACATATCTGTTCAAGCAATAGTACTTTCCTTGAAGATCTTAAATATACAAAGTAGAAACGACGAATTGCTAGCAATTTTCACGAGAAGTTCAAGAATTTCAGTCGAAAAACTTGAGTCTGTTTTATAGTTTGTCTGCCAGATATATGAAAGCTTTTATCTTAGGCACGAATTTGAATAAGTTTACGATCTAACAACATACATACGCATTGGCAATTTTTCGACACAATAGCCTTCCAAAACGAATTTCTAACCAACATTATTCTTTTGTTTATAATTATATAATGTTTAGGATATTATATTGCATTATGATTCTTATTATCAAGATCATTATTTCAAACCAATTTGCGGTGACGACTCAGGTGTCCGTTTTAAACATTTTATATAAAATTACCATCTTATATAAATGAATGTATCAGGAAAATCACATTCCTAGCTTATTATTCAAGTTAAATTAGACAAGAACTATGCATGATGGTATCCTCAATACGAGTATTTTTTTTTCGATGGGTATGCCTGGGCTGCAGTATCAGGCAATTTTTTAACATTGTCTTCTTTTTGCAATAAATTTCACTTATTTCGTTCACCTGAACAACTGAAATTTTCAAAATACACTGGGGCGCCCACACATCAAAATTTCCAAAAGGCACAGGCGCGCCAGTCTCACCTGTAGACACAAGGGCGCCAGTCTCTCCGGTAGACACAGGGGCGCCAGTCTCACCTGTAGACACAGGGGCGCCAGTCTCACCTGTAGACACAGGGGCGCCAGTCTCACCGGTAGACACAGGGGCGCCAGTCTCACCTGTAGACACAGGGGCGCCAGTCTCACCTGTAGACACAGGGGCGCCAGTCTCTCCTGTAGACACAGGGGCGCCAGTCTCGAGTGTAAACACAGGGCACCAGTCTCGCCTGTAGACACAGGGGCACCAGTCTCGCCTGTAGACACAGGGGCGCTAGTCTCACCTGTAGACACAGGGGCGCCAGTCTCACCTGTACACAGGGGCGCCAGTCTCACCTGTAGACACAGGGGTGCCAGTCTCACATGTAGACACAGGGGCGCCAGTCTCACCGGTAGACACTGGGTCGCCAGTCTCACCTGTAGACACAGGGGCGCCAGTCTCACCTGTAGACACAGGCGTGCCAGTCTCACCTGTAGACACAGGGCGCCAGTCTCACCTGTAGACACAGGCGCCCGTTGCCAGGTCCCAGACGCACAAGGTGCCGTCCTGGGCACCGCTGGCGATGATGGCGCCCTCGAGACTCGTGCTTTGCTCCTCCCGAGGCGTCGAGTCGCGTCTTCGAACAGTCGAGTAATTATCGTCCTCATAAATGCTGAGAGGTCCTGGAAATAAAGACCAAAATTAACAAAAATTTCGAAGTTTTCTTCCTCAACTGCTACTCCAGAAGTTAATGCATTTGTTGCCTAGAAAAAAGTCAAAATTTAAGCATGTTTGAAGTGTCACATGTAGTACGTTGAACGTCAAAATACGGCACTAAGACAAGATAAAATAAATAAGGTACCTAAGTTCCAACAAATAAATGGTACCGAAGTTGGATCACATAAAACAAGGCGCCACCGTGTGAACTCTTATTAGCAGAGCCCCTAAATTCGAACAAATAAAATAAGGCGCCCACTTTAGAATTAATCAAAAAAGGTCCCATTATTCCATCATATAAGACATCACAGTACGTATAAGAAATAATTTGGCACTACATATAATGTGGAACCAACGTTCTAACACATATAATGAAGCGCAAAAGTTCGAATATAAGGAAAACTGCACCGAAGTTCGAATAAATAAAGAATATAACTCAGTACTCACTGCAGTGAGTAACAGAGAGCGCATATTCTCGTCGACGAAAACGTGAAGTCACGGACGGACAGACGGGCATGGATTGCACAATAGTGCATTTTTTCCATAAATGACAAAATGCGCTAAAAGCGGCACTAACCGTCCATCCGCAACACGGCGGCGCCTTCATGCCTGCAGTCCCCGACAGCGTCCCCCAGCGTGGCACACGTCACGGGTCCCAGATGACCATGCAGGGTGAACAAGCAGTCACCCTCACAGGTGAGCACCTTCAGGGTGTGGTCCAACGAACCAGTGATCACCCTACTAGTGTCACTACGCAGGACACTGATGGACTGGTGGTGAGCTTTGTTCGTCGTGAACCGCGTCAGTTGCAAGACGTATCCGTCATTGTCTATCGGCGCGGTGATACCATCGGCCGCGATACCACTGGTCGGGACACCATTGGTCGCGATGCCATCGCCAGAGATACCACCACCGGCAAGGTTACTATCATCACCGACATACCGACGATGTTCACTAATTGTAGAGGGAAAATTGTTCTCGTAGCTGCTGCCGCGCCTGTGTTTCCGATAACTGGTAGATGATAAAGATGAAGGTGGTTCTGCTCTAGGTTCCTCTTCATGAGGCTGGCAGGATGATGGTACTGTATAGCTTACGTCTATTGAGTAGTAATCTATTGAGCCGGAAAGTCGAGCTGCCACGAGTCTGCTGCCGGTGCTGCTGCTACAAACTGTCATGGCCGTGACACCAGATCCCGAGCTGTTCTCCGTCGCGAACTACAACAAACGTTGTCATGTTTACGTAAACTAGCAATAACAAATTCAAAATATTCATTTTTATTAAATTGATTTGTTCACTTCACTGCAAGTTGTCTAAACGCGTGTGGAAATATTTTTCTCAAAAAAAGAGGCTTTACAAAAACAACCATGCGTCCATCTAAAGGAGTATATTTATGTAAAATTATTTTGTCAAGCAGACTGCGTGAGTATTATTATAGCAGAAAGCCTAGCGATTCAATATCGGCAGTATTTTTTGAAAAAATTTATCATAACTAATTTATAATTGACTGAACAGACGTTTAGGAAATTGAATGATCCCTTTGAATGATCCCAATCCACCCTTTGCCATCAAAGAATTTTTGCTCACACTGTCATTCGCCTGGAGCTTCCATAGCTACGTCATCCTCCCGTTTTACCTTAATTTGACTTGCCTTTTATAAAATAACAAAACGAATATTATAAACTAACCTTAAAATTGCCGGAATAGGCGTCCCACACTTCAATGGAGCCATCAGCACAGCCCACGAAAACGATCCCTTCGTGGCAGTGCAGCGACCACACAGCAGAGGCGCCGACAGATGCCCCGTCGCACGAGTAACCAGCGAGCGCGGTGGAATTTTTCCCAAATCTGTCTTTTGTTGTAGAATTAGAAGCAGGACGAACTTGATAATTTGTGTTGCTAGGACCTACAAACAGCGGAGGGTTGCCCGCACTTAGGTTTCTACGGTGAGTCTTGGCAGTATTTTGAAGTGTTGGATGAGGGGGAGTTTGTGTAAAAGATGAGCGGGTAGAGAGATACGAGGGGCTTACGGGAGGGAGAGATGTTCTTGAAGGTTGGGGAACACACTGTGGTCCAACTGCGGTCGCCATATGGGGGACTGCATCAGATGTGGGCCCATGTGACCCTAAAAAGAAGTTAGGGGTCTCTAAACTATGTGTAGATGAGTGTGAAAGGTTAGGCGTCTCTATACTTGGTGTATATGAGTGTGGAAGGCGGTTAAAAGGCTCTAATGTATTTCTAGTATTGGCATACGGAGAAAAAGATGAATCCTGTACATGCTGTGGAGAGCTTGGTGGTGAACCAAGAGATTGAGACAAGGGCGGTACCCATGACGGATACTGCAAGTTATTAGGTGAAGACAGAGATCGATTAATGTTACCAATTTGATGCTTTTGTGAACGTTCTTTTCCTCTAGGTGTAGAAGATGCATTAAAATCAAGTCCTGGCGAATTACGAATTTCTTCAACATTTGTGAATTGCTCGTGTTGAGTGCTAGAAGTGTTGAGACTCGTAAACCCATCCGTGGAAGTCAGAGTAACTAGATTTGATGATGAATGATCATTCACCGGCTTTGATTTTCGTGACCGAGAGTCACTAAGTGAATGAATGAATGTGGTCGAATTACTCCCACCATAAGCTATTGTGGTGCCTGTATTAACAGGTATTGGGTCAGTAATAGGCACAGGTACTGAGCTCTGGGAGTTGATTTGTGGTGATTCTTCGGGACGGAAAGTTCGATCAACTTGACCAACATTGAACGATTGTGCCGCAACATCAACAACATCAGGGTTGGTAATGGTGCTGGGGAAAGCTTTCTTGCACCCGTACATCGCAGGGAAATCTGTTCTAATGCTCAATGGAGATGATGAAACAACCGATGGTGACTGCACGCACGTCTCGTTCGGTGCTCCCGAGTTTAGTTGGCTAGGAAGCTGCCATATACAGCCTGGAGGACTGTAAAAAAATGGACAAGGCTGAAAAAACGCATTCAAATTTATAACAAATAACAATCAATATAAATGTAAAACAATCAATACCGAATGATAATTTTTAAAATGGCGAACATGTATTAGGATTTTGTATTGAAGGATAAATAGTATTTTATTTCAGGTGAATCTCAGAAGATTTTGCTGAGAAACAAGACAACATGGCAAGAAACGTTTCCATTAATTTCATTCAATGAAATATATTTGTCCTATACATTTTTGCGTCGTGATTCACGGAATTTTTTACAGACTATAATTTCACTTGATAAGAATTCACATAATCTCGACTGCAAATGGTTGACTAACATCACAAACTGAGCGTTTCAGGACAACCGAAAAACAGATTCGTGTAATTCTGCACACATTAAAATAATACATTATTTAGAATTCTGAAGTGCGACCGGCAAGGAAATTGACATAAAGGAAGCTCTTGACATAAATACACGTAGTAAATATTGAGGTAAAGACCTATTTGCACACATTTTCTGTGTTTTTCTTAATACTTAGGAAAAGATTAGTTGTAGACCATGCAAAGGTCTTTATTTGGGCTTGGAACGGAAGAGCAAAGCTGGATAACTTGTGTTAAACTGTGTCAGAATTTGAAGCTCGGTTAGTGTGTGCACCGTACATGTTTCTTCGAGATCTGAACAGAGATTAGCCAATATATACTGAATATACACTTATAATAGATTGCTTCTACTGCGTTCGTTCAAAAATCAAATCAGAACCTCAAACGCTAAACTAAAAAAACTCACTGCTCTGCATAGGCAGGCAACTCAGGGAGAGACCGGGGCGACCCAGACTCGTAATCGGAGCTATGATCTTCATGATGTACAAGCACATCTTTGGTACGGCTGATGGTGGCCAGGCACTCTGAGGTTACAGGGTCCCAGGTCTTGATGACGCCACTGAGGCACGCTGATGCCACCACGGAGCCGTCACTACAGACACATTCTATCTCGGAACTGTGGCCCACGAGAGAAACGGGTACGCACTCCCCGATTATTTGGGCCCGAGCTTGTGGATGTTCACCCGTCCACCACTGTTCACGCCACTCCGCGTAGTGTCTGCTGCAGATGCAGCGGTAGAGCCAAATAAAACTGTACACCATGACCCCAAGGGCAGGGATTGCAAGGATTCCCGTCACTATCATCTCCCCACTGCTGCTGGGGATGAACGGAGTTCGCCGACTTCCGTAGCGGTTCCCCAATCGAGGGGAGGACTTTGGGGGGCTATCACCCGACATCAGTGACACCCACCACCAGTCATTTTCGCTGACTGGGGACTGTGTGTGAACAGAGGCTTGAGGCTTCCATGGTTCAGTGTTGGGGTCTCCAGGATGATGCACCATGAGGGCTTCTTCAACACTCACTGGCACCGAGAGCAGGAGGGGAGGAAGGAGGCTAATGTACTCCCCTCGCAAGGTGATGTTATAATAGCCGAAGAGGGTAGGCCAATGTGTTTCAGGAAGGTATGAACTGACGTCAGGATGCACGTGGCGAAGAACTTCCGTCCAAGGCTTCTGAGATTTCTCAGGGAGTTTGAAGAGATGGGTTTTGTTAGTAGCACTTGATTTTCCATCAGCTGAATCAACCACAGACTCTTCGTGCTGCAGTACGTCATCGTGGTGTTGATATTTCTCTGCAAAATTCTCATAATTAAGGTCTTCATTGTACAATTTGTTTCCCTTGGAATCTTTCATTTTATTATACTTAGTGGGCAGAGATACTTCGTCGCCCCGAGCATTGCCTCTGCCATCATCCAACAGAAATTTCTCACTCGACTTTGTTTTGATGCTCCGAATCACAGATTCCAAACCAGGATTCGTCTCGGCTAATCGCTCCCACTGATCAATAATACCAGTAGTAGAGTAAATTATGAATGCAATCCAGCCAACAAAAGCACAAATAAACATTCGCTGGAAAGTCCTGTTGCCAGTGAGGCAATAAGTGAGCCTGAGGCGCTTGGGAACGTCCTTGACAGCCTTGGTGGGTTCTGACGACGGTGGGGCCACGCGGTCTTCACCTGGGAAGCTCCTCGATGAAGTAATGCGGCGGTGTAGGTTGGCGATTCCACTTCTTTTGTTCAGTGCCGAGTCTAAGTTAAGAGTTCGATGACGGCCGGACAAACGGGAAAAATTTGAGCGAATCCAGCCTCGGGAAAGCAGCATTTCCTGCTTCAGGTGTTTCTGTGAATCACGTAGTCGCTGTAGATCAAGGCTCAACACAGCTATGAAGAACACTAACTGCATGGAGAGGTCACAAAGCAGGACCAAGCTGCCATAAATACAAATCTCTTGCACGATCGGAATGAAGAGGAAGAAAGAAAGCGTCACTAAAGTGATCATGGTGAGGAAATATTTGGTGATGATCCAGCCTTCTCTGGCTAGCCCTCGAGCAACTCTAATCTTAACGTCCAAGTGCTGAGGAGTGGAGGCAATGGAGCGCATCAGCACCATGCTGTTCTCGAAGCCAACAAGCCCTGACAAGACAGGATAAACATACTTCCCCTGCGTGTGCAGGGGCTTAAGACCCCAATATGCACAAGTTCCAACCGCCAGACACAGAGAAGACACCAGCGTCACTAGGACAGTTATAGAGATGCCGAGCTTGCTATAGAGGATGTCTAGTTTCAGAAGAGAGAAGTAGACTGAAAAGAAAAGGCCACAGTACAGCAAAAAGATGAGCACTTCCCATAGCGAGAGCCGGCTTGGAAAATACAGGTGGATGATGTTTGGATCAGATGGCTGGTTGTCTTTGTGCAGGGGATATTTCCGAAGTAATTCTGATCGCAGTCCTTCAACAAATCTGTAATAAATCGCAAAAGTATAAATTATCAATCAAGTTTCAAGATCACAATAAAGGAAGAAATTATCATGAAATGATGACATTTTTCAAGATTTACGAGTAAACTCTGAAGAAGTAAATTTGATGCAGTTCTTTAAATGAAGTACTATTGCTTTGAGCTAATTGGTGAAGTGACTCAAGAAGAGTTAATATGATAATGGGGTAACGTACCCAAATTTTAAGACATCTTTCTTGGCTTTCAGAAAGTGAAATATAAATCAAGACAGACTGCAAATATTGAACACAAATAACACTAATTTCAGCTGTGATAAAACGGAGGTATTGCAATTGAAATGAATGCAAAATCTCTTAGTCCTAACAGTGCTGACAACTAACTTAGGATATACCCTAGATGGTTAGGATGAACGCATTCCTCACAATGAGTTCCGTGTTTTGTGGCAGCATAATACATGTGACTTACTCTTCATTATATCGACGCAGGGCGAGGGTAAGAGCGTATGTAACTACTTTTGGGTGGTCGTTGTTGAGGAGCCCCACTTCTGAAGCAGGCACTCCAAACAACACGTCTGCAACCCGACTCTCATCGTCGTGACCCGCCTGTATCAAAAGCACAAATTTTTAACAAACGGAATAAGTTCAATTCAAAATTTTTTAGTAATACAGAGTAAAATTAGGATATGATACTAGTGATTCAATCCTTGTACTCCATTGGCATATTTTATTTAAATAGGAGTGACCTTAGGCTTTGGATTATTTCAAACCTCCGCCAGCACCACAAAACACTAGGTGATTGAACATTTTTATCATGCGCTTATTTCGTGGTTAGCAGTAAGTCTTACCATCAATGACTTAATGGTGGTGAGCACGTGTGGATCATTTAAAAATTCATTCTTGTCTCTGGTCCACAGGTCAGCAGGAGAAAGAAGAAGACAGTTGAAGTTTGGTAATTTTCCACCTACGCCACCTTCCCCACGATGCTGCTTGGCCACGTCCTCTACAAGAAGACATTCAGAGCCCAGCCATGTTCCTGCGACCGTCTTATTAGGGCGCACCACACCCTCAGAGGAGGGGGAGCTGTGGAACTTATGGCGCCCATGCTCATAGTTGCTTAGGGCTTCGTACAGAGAAAAGACTGTGGCCAGGGGCCCTCTGTAAGAGTCGCTCACTGTCAGTGAGGAGTCATTCACTGGGCATACACTAGACCGGATAACAACCTGTGAACAATACACAACATTTAGAGAATTTAACGTCACATATTAAGGAGGTTCAGAGTTATCTTCAAGCACCCGATTGAAATCAATATCAACCTCAACATAGGCATGAAAAAACAATATATTATGTAAGCTTCAATATAAGTATGAGAAAATAAAATTTTGTCAGGACATTCCATGCTACCAAACTCATTCCAGAACAAAATCAAATTTAAAATTAATGATCACAAAATAGTGAAATAATATGCTGCACAAACCTTCTGACCAAGTCCATGCAGACATACCGGGTAGTGCATATCTAGTGAATGTATAAAGTAATACCTGCAAAATGTAGGCAATTGGAGCACCCTGGTACCAGAGAGGTGTGGGTGTGGGAGAGGGGCTTAGGCTGATGTGGCCTTCAGCAGGAGGAGGAATGCTGTAGTTGTGAGCAGGAGTTAGGTACTCTTGGGGCACGTGGCCAGGCAGCGGCAGATGGTACAGAGGTGAGCTGGGTTAAAAAGAGTCAAATCATCATAAATTTCAGTGATTAAATTTGTTAAATAACAGAAGCTCATAAGCTGACCAAATGGATAAAAATTCAGATCGTAATACTTAATATAAATTCTCCAAAATGCAGTTCCAGTTGTGCTTATAAATGTTCACCATGTAGTGCAACATCTTGGTATATGAACACCCAATGAGAGCAAATTAGCTCAACAACAAAATTACAATCTTGAGTCAAGATCAATCTCTAAGCATTTTAATCATAACAATAATAAACCACAAGCAAAGGCTGCTTAACACTCTTTACAACTAAAAATCAATGTTTTATCATATTTTGCATGCAAGTTGGTAGTGACATTTCAACCCATGGTTGAAAAATCCACCCATGTAATGGATGCTAAGAAGTATCATGTGATTGGATTGATTGAATTTAAATACAGATTATACCTACCTAATTCTGGAATATGACTGAGTTTGCAGCCTGTCTATCATTGATTCATGAACACCACATAGAATGTAGGTAGTAAATATATATATGGCTTATAAAACCTAGCTTTAAAGATGGCCTGTATCCTGTAAAGATGGCCTGTTATCTAAGAGTCTACCTGTATCCTGCTGAATACCAAGTTGGAATAAAATACTGACCTGAGAATAAGGAAAGCAATAACAGCAAGAAGGATGACTTTAATGGGGTGGGTGGCAACAAAGAGTCCGTAGCGATAGTAAGCCTGAGAAACAGCCTCAGGCAGGCCTCCACCTCCCCCTGAGTTCTGGTCTACTGACATCACCAACACTCCAAAAGACTTTCATTTACACCAAGTAAATAGCACTGGCAAATTTTCAGTTAAAAAACTTTATTTATCACTAGTATTTGACACTGACAAATCCTGCAAGCAACACATTTCAATTGCATAAACATCAAATATAGTATATATATACAATATTTAGCTGTATATATATATAAAGATCAAGCATCATAAGTAGATGTTAAACAACTTTTAGGTTAAACCAGAAGCTTAGTATATTAGAAGTTCTTAATTGCAACACATGGGAGAGGAGAAACTATTCTTTTTTTTGCAATTTTTTGAGCTACCATCAAATGGGGTAATAAGGGATGGTAGGGGTAATAAGGGACAATAGAGGTAATAAGAAACAGTCTTCTGACATTTGGTAGAAATGTTGCAGCAGCTAAACTAATTAAAATATTGCAAAACTGAAAATAGTGGCATAAAGTTAAAGGGGTCCTTTCACTGGTGTCTTCAATTTTGTAAACAACCAGAAGTTGCAAGGAGCCTTGTCTGGAGACTAGGGTGGTTGGCAAACAACTGGAATTCCATATTTGGCCAAGATCTAATTTGGACAAATGGGATGAGTGTGCAGGGGCATTGTGATGATGCAGTTGCCAATTTTTCACCATTCACATGTCTGGTCTTGGCACCAAACTGCATCATGGATATGTCAGAGAACATTTCTTGGCCAAACATGGAATTCCAGTCATTCGGCAACCTCCCTACTCTCCTGACATGGCTCCTTGTGACTTCTGGTTCTTTCCAAAATTGAATACACCACTGATAGGATCCTGTTTTGAGAGTAGAGAAGAGATAATGCAGGAAGTGATGGCAAATATCAACTCCATTCCAAAAGAAGACTTCCAGAGGTGCTACCAGCAGTGAAAGGATTGGTTGGCTAAGTGTGTGCAAGCACAAGGGGCTTACTTTGAAGGGGATTAGGGTCCAAACCTTGTAAGAAAATTGAAATCTTTTTTCTGGCCCATGCTCAGATACTTTTTAGATAGGCCTCAAATACCTATTATCCAAGTGGCTACTAGAGTGGACAATTGGACTGAATGATTCAAAATTTATTGAAAACATTCCATGATTCCACTTTAGACAGGATATTTCTGTGATAGTAGGAAAATTACAATCTTGCAAGCTAATGATTTATAGCATAGCAGGCAAGAAATATATCTACGTGGCAAGCCGCAACTGAATTTTTCGAGCCATGGTTTTATGGATTTGCCAGCCATGAGTCCATATCTTTGAGCCATGAATTCCATATATTGGCAATGTTAATGAGCCCCGAATGTATTTACAAAGACCGTGCACATGTTATCCCAAATCTCTAATTTTACCCTAAAACAGTCAAACTACAAAACTAACATTTAGCTTCACTCAAGTGGCAACTGAACACACAATAATGCAGTCCAACTGCCCTGACATGACTGCAGCTATGTGATCTCCAAGGAAACGTTTTAGGTTGACATTGTTATTTGCACCACTGGGCAGGGTGGCCCTGTGGTTAAAGTTCAGAGTATCAGGATTGGAGCAGAGAGGCATGGCTGCATGGGTTCAATCCCAGCTCTGTGCGTCATTTTTTTTTGACAGAATCGGCAAGGAGGCTGGGTGGTTAAGCACAGCAAAATTTAAGCAGTGAGTTGCGAGTTCAAGCCCACAACAAGCTGTGGATGTTCTGCAATGTTAAGAATTGGTGACAGGCCTCTGGCCAGGATGGGAATTTTCCTACTTGTATCTGAAATCTCATGGTTCCAACATGACAAATATCTAATATATTTGGAAATTGGAATCTTGCGGCCTGATAGGCTGATTGTGCACTTTTGTTAACAATTGTAAAGGAGGTAATTCGACTGGCAGAAATCTCACAGTTCAGGAAATGGCAGGAAACCTTTAGTCATGGCCCTAAAGGTAGACGTTTTCCATTCCATGCTTGCCTTTGGCCTAATACCTAAATGCTGAAACCGCTAGCTCTATATAAATATATTACGTTTGGCAGGATATTTTGGCGGACACGTTGTTTTAATGTGGATTGCATTATCATTGCGGAAGTTGAAAATTTTATGAAACGACATGTTGGCAAAGTTGCAAACCGCAAATTTTCTATCTAACAAAAATACATGACATTAGAGCTGCAAGATTTCATACCTTCTGAAATTTTGTGATATTAGAGCTGGGATATTTCAGAAAAAAAGTAGCCAAGTGGCCAAGCCCAGTACCACACTCAGGAAGATGTATATAAATGGGGAAATTTCTCGCGTAAATCAATCTAATTATATTTTTTTCGCGCAGACGTTTGTACAAATCACGGTCATCGATTCTGCGCTGCACAGCACTCGGCGCGGGCCGCGGAGCCGTCCGACACAGTTCTGATTTAGACACAGTTTTCATCTGAATGGAATGGCAACATCGTCTGTAGATGATTTCAAGTAACGCTGAACCAGCATTGCCAGATGGTATATTTCTATACCAGATTTCACAAATCTGGTATTTTCAAAAGGTGTCTGGTATGAATATTTT